TCCCCCTCCCTCTCTTCTTACCCCCTCCCCTGTAGCGTGGCCGAGCTGCACTCCGGTCCGCGGTGGCCGGCCGGACTGACAGGAAGTGCACACTCAGTGGACCGGAGTGCAGCTTGGCCACGCTACAGGAGAGGGGAGAAGCTGCAGCCGCCTGACGCTCTTAACAGAGCCAGGCAGCTGCAGTATTTAAAGGGCCGGCCCGCCGCGACGGGTCTTACAAGAATTTAGGGCGGCCTGGGGGGCAATTGCCTCCCTGCCCCCCTGCCCCCCAGCCCAGCCCGCCCCTGTGTGGAAGAATTAGCCCACTGGTATAGCCCAAGCAATGTAAAGATGTTTTGAGGCTACTGATGGCAAGGGTGGGTTAATTGGAAGTCCCTAAGAATAAGGCATGGAATATTAGATGATAGGAAGTAGGGAAACCAGGCACCAAAATGGTCATGGAAGAGAACAGCGGGACTGGGGGGGAGGGAGTGGTAAATAAAGGCAATGTTTGCAGAGATGGATTTGAACAGGAAATTTGATTGAGGAGAAAGAGAGGGAAGGGTGGTAGAGGTTTGCAGGAACAATGGGGTGAAAGCAGAACCTTGCCAATTGTAAGTATGTTTTTTGCTTTGTCATTATGAGATATTGAGTGTAGCTTGATGTGAAAAAAATGAAGGGATGTATATAATTTCTGAATGTACTGTATATCTAATATATTAGTATACATAGTAGTAGTTAAATGTATATTCTAAATATTACATGTACTTTTTAAACCAAGATGTATAGAGATTTTGCAGTTGTAAACTTTTGTTTTGATCTGTAAACCTTGGCAAGGCAAGGCAAGACCATTAGTCAAATGGTGACGGGCACAACTTTAACAATCGAGCATGCAAACCGGGAGATAAATTGTACTTGGGGCTACTATCTATTTGTTTAAATATTAAATATTTTAGCAGCTAGTAATTAGCAGATGCTACATGTTAACTCTTTGTGCTTTGACACTTGTATGTCGGTACCATAAGATCCTAAAACCATGTGTTCCTCTCTCACACACACACTGTGTTTCCTGTCCTGACGAATTATAGTGTGGCCAGCATATGATGTCATTAGGGGGCAAAAGCATTAAAACAGTGAAGTCACCCCATGCGGCCCCAGCTCCACTGATGTAGCCTACCAGCAGCAAAACGGTATGCTGTCTTTCCAAATGTGAAGAGCAGAGGATATGCATTGTTTATGGGGCATGTAATGTGGATGGGGGGTGTCATGAAATACACATAACATGATGACTTGGTTTCCCCATGTCTTTATTGCAGAGCTTAACTTGAGGTGAGACACCATCTTCAGCAGCAACATTGCATTTAAAAAATGACATTTGGTTCACCAAGCCACCTCCTGCCCCGCCCCCTTTCTGATGTCACTCAGGGAGCATATCATGTTAGTGGGGGAATGTAACATGGAAAGGGGTCCATAAGGCAGGGGCGGAGAGTGGTGCCCCATTTGTGAAGAGTACAGGGGATATATTGTGGATGGGGGCCTGTAATGGGAATGAGGGGTATGTACTAAAGAAAAGGGTCTTGTGATATTGAAAGGGGGCACTTTGATGTGGATCCAGGTTTAATCAGACAGGATAAATGTAATGTAGCAGGTAGTGTGTAGTGTAAGGTGATAGGGAGGGAAAGTGTACTGTGCCAGGGGTGGTGTGTATGGTGTCAGGTATACATATATTCATTATGTATATATAAGGGGATGGGGCAGGGGTGGGTGCCATAAGGAATTAACTTCTTCATTACATCTGTTAATCAGGTCCTTGCATAAGTAGTGCTAATTGAATATTATGGGCTGTATTTAATTAGCTGAGTAAGAGCTTACTTTGCTTACTGAAAAGCAATTCCTCATTTAAAATTTATGGGAAAATTCAGTAAGTGGAGTAAACTTTCATTTACAATTTGGCAATTAAAGAGTTACATACACCACCTGTCTAATATCGTGAAGTATGGACTCCACATGACCTTTAAATGTATATTTTGGTATCTGACATTAGCAGCAGATGCTCTAAGTCCTGCAATTTGACAGGTGGGTCCTCCATTATTTAGCTGTGTTGTTCCAGCCCATCCCACAGGTGCTCAATCAGATTGAGATCTGGAGAATTTGGAGGCCCAGGCAACATGTTGAACTCTTTGTCATGGTCCTCAAACCTTTCCTGACCAATTTTTGCAGTGTTGCAGGGTGCATTATCCTGCTGAAAGAGGCCAGTGTCATCAAGGAACCATGATGATGAGCTGTATGTGGTCTGCCACAATCTCTAGGTAGGTGGTATGTGTCAAAGTAACATCCACATGAATACCGGGACCCAAGGTTTCCCAGCAGAACATTGCCTCTGCCGGTCTGCCTTTTTCCCATAGTGCATCCTGCTGCCATCTCTTCCCCAGGTAACAATGCACACACACTCGAATATCCACCTGATCTAAAAGAAAACTCAATTAATCAGATTCGGCAACCTATTTCTATTGCTCCATTGACCAGTTCTTATGCTCACTTCCCACTGTTGGCGCTTTCAGTGGTGGACAGTGGTCATCACGGGCATTCTGATCGGTCTGCAGCACACGACTCTATACATTGAAAACTGTGACGCACTGTGTGTTCTGACAGCTTTCTATTGGCCAGTATTAAGTTTTTCAGCATTTCGAGCAACAGTAGTTCTTCTGTGTGTTCAGACCAGATTGCTAGTCTTTGCTCCGCACGTGCATCAATGAACTTTGGGCACACATGACATGTATCCCATTAGGCAGAGTAGGCACCATGATGGAAATCGGTCCCTGGTGCCATTGTAACAATATAATCAATGCTATTCACTTAAAACTGTTAGTGGTTTTAATGTAGTGGTGGATCAGTGAACACTACACCTAAGTACTAAGTAAATCTAACATTTAATCCCTTTTCCATGAATATTTATTTTAAAATATCAAAAATGTTTCACATATGTCTTTCAAAAATGACTTGTGTTATTCTTGAAGTAAAAGATATATTATCACACAATTTGTGAAGTTAGAAAGTCTGATACTTGGCACTTTACTTCAAGCTGTGCTCTTCTGAAGGTTTTTACAGCAGTAACACGTTACTCAGTTGTCAAGGAAACTGTTGGTTTGATGCTAATAGATACTACTCAGGATATGCTGTGAAAAAGCTTAACAAATAAAAATGTTAGACATAAAAAATATCACGTCTGATTTATCACTACTGCATGAAATCAGTATGCCAGTGTTCAGTGCTGGAAGATGCTTACGTTAACACAGTTTTACAGCTCTGGATGTCTTGTGCTGTTCAAACTCATTAATAATACCTTAGTACAATTTGAATTAAAGTGTCTAAAAAATAAAGGAGAAACTATTATAACAGTGTATGTGCTGACCTTACCACAATTAAAGTATGATTCAATAGCATTAAGCCTATCTTGTGGATTTTATCTTTGGCCTACGTTGACCCAACTATGGCTCAGAGGGGGACAATTATAAAAACTGTCATATTAGTAATTTGCTTTGAAATAATCAGGGTGAACTTGGCAATGTAACTTCACCAGACCGAAGCACAATCTTTCAATAGATGTTTCCCATGAATTGCAAAAATTTAGACAAGAAAGTTGAATTGACTCCAACTCAGTTATGGCAACAGCTTGCCTATATTACCCCAAATATTCAGATTCCAATTTGCTTCAGATAAGTAACCTATTAATTACATATTAAAATTTGTTTGTGTCTGCAATATCTCTCTACTTTTCCAAGTTGCTAATTATGGATCACCAAGGGCACTTGATTACACTTCTTAATATATTTCCCAAATGTAATCAGCCTGCATATTTGTTGTTGAAATTTAAACTAAATGCTTCTCAAATTATGTTGTGGTCTCACAACCTATTTTATATACTGCATAACATTCAAATTAATTTCTGCCTATAGAGTAGGGGCTTACAGTTTCTTTCTAAGCTGGCTCTTAAAGGGGCATCACAGGCACCCAGACTACTTCATATCATTGGGTACAGTGTCCCTAACCTAAGATTAATTGTGAAAAGCCACAAAAGATGTCAGAAGTATACTTATATAAAAGGTGAAGCTTCCAGTGGCTTAGATATATATAATACTTCAAAAAATTGACAAATAAAATATACTATGTGGCCAAAAATAATAATAAGTAGTATGACTAAAAGTGGAGATCACTCTATTAACAGGATAGGAGGCTAGAGTATTAGATATATACACCCCATAATATTATTTTTGGCCACATAGTATATTTTGTTGTCCATTTTTGAAGTATTAGTCCAGCGATGTAATAGCACATTTTTCATGTTCTATGAACATGGAAGTGTCCTCTAGTGGCTGTCTAGTAGACAGCCACCAGAGGAGGACTTAACCCCTCAAGGTAAATATTGCAGTTTATGAAAACTGCAATAATTACAGTTGCAGGGTTAAGGGTAGTGGGAGTTGGTACCCAGACCACTCCAATGGGCAGAAGTGGTCTGGGTGCCAGGAGTGTCCCTTTAAGTAGTTAGATAGATTGATAAATAGATTAATATACAGCGAGATTGATAGTTAGATGATGGATGGATGGATGGATGGATAGAGAGAGAGAGATAGTGAAAGATAGATAGATAGATAGATAGATAGATAGATAGATAGATAGATAGATAGACAGACAGTAAATCATGTTGATGTATTGCAAAAGTGTGACTTCTGCTAAATCCCACATGGTGGCAATGCTACCAAGGAGGATGTTTTGCTTCACTGAAAAGAGAAATGCTTTTATTTCTCTGTACATGCTTTTTAGTACAAGAAATCAGTGTTTGCAAATCACATGTGCTAACTATGCAATATGGGAAAGTTAATTAAGCTTTTCATTGACTGACATGGTCATTTTTTGTTTAGGGCAAAAGGTTTAAATATACAAACAGTAATAGAGTTTGAGCAACACTGTTCAATTTCCATCACTGTAAATGCATTTTGGGATGAGGCTGACGTCAGGGTTGGTATTTATAGGGGCAATATTTAGGGTAAGGGCTAATGTTTAAAGCTAAACTCATTGATTTTTTTATTTTGTTTTTAACTGATCGGAGCTGTTCTTTTCTTTTTTTTTTTTTTTATTTCCATGTACTTTGATTTGTAATAAAACAGTAATTTTACCCCCTTCTTGCCCCAGCTTCCTTCCACCTCCCTGCAGTGCCTTTTTAAAAGATCTTTGTATAAAAGTGCAGGATAGGAAGGGCTCACTTTCTGATTCTTTCAAAGGAAAAAAATAATTAGAACTGACCTGAATACTGTGGGGAGAGGCACATAGCTGAAGTAACTACAGCACTGAGAGCTTCCTGGCTTTGCTCGGCACTGTGAATGTGGTGCTTAAAGGAACACTATACAAATCTGTACTCCTAACGTTATAGTGTGCCTGTCTGGCATAGAAAGGCTTATGAACCCTTTTTTCTTACCTTGCCACAGCACAGAGGCTCCATGCTTAGCTCCCTCCCGCAGCAACATTACAGAGGTGGTCAAATCCAATGATCCGCAGTGCGCGCAAATTCAAACTTTCTGCATCTCGTAGCTGAATTTTACGGAATCCCCTCTAGTGACTGTCATACTGTAATGTAAATAGTGCGTCGTTTTACATTGCAGGGTTAAGAGGACAGGGAACGTCATTGAGATGGTCTGAGTGACTATAGCGTTCCTTTAATAACTTTAAGAAAAACACTGTAGACCACTGGAAATCATTTTTAAAATATATATTTGAAACAACTCTTACAAATAAAAACGCTAGAGTTGGAAATAAGGAATTCAAGCTGTGAAAATGAATCTAGATCCACCAGCCTATTAGCTGGAAGGTTAAAAATAAAGAACCTACACAGAATATAAGGATCAACATGAAAGGCATGAGCATTTACATACCCCTGCTGGTTTCAGGAATGTTTCTCAAACATTGTGCTTGACTGGCTGAATAGCAGCAGCAGGTCCAAAACGACCCAAAGAACACTAGTATTCATTTAAAACCTAGCTATAGTCCAATCACACATTCATATAGTGCGTGATTTCACAGCATAAACACCGAAGAGACTTAATCAGGACATTTCTGAGTCATCATGAGATGTAGGACAGGAGAAACAGAATGTATGCCATCCAGTTAAGTTAACCCAGTATGAATGTACCCAGAAGGTATACTGTATTCTTTCACATTTATGGGCACGTTTATTTTGCTTCAATGACTTTCAGAGTCTCAGCTATAAATGTTTCTCTACATCTGCCTCTTTGGTTTCTTTACCAAATGGGATATTTTCCTTCAAAATGTGAAAATGTTCTACATTATTTTCTAAATCCTTAGATTTTCTAGGTAGAGAAATGTGTTTTGCACTGATTTTTAAAACTCTTGGGGGGCTTATTTTGCATCAATTATATTTCTCTTTCTTATTTTTTTTTCACAAATTGTACAAAACATACGTGATAAAACATACAAATGTACTCCTTTTAGCCTTATCTCTGTGCTTTATTATTGTATAAATTCATCTTTTAGGGCTATAAAAGTACCAAATGTAAAAAAAAAATAAAAACCCCACATATATAACAAATACAACATGAAATCAATTATATTTTATGTTACATCATTTACATATTCTTTTCAAATATGTTGTATAACAATATAATTATGTCATTATATTATTGTCTTTTATACAAGTTTAAACTTTTTATAAATGCAGGTTGTGGGGGTAAAAAAAGGGGAAAAGAAGGGTAAAGGAAGGGGGGAAATATAATTGACTAGTCTGTATCCTAGTATTTTCAATTAGAGAAAAATAAAATATTTTTAAAAATAATGTTGTTAGATATCTTATCTTAAACGCCTTTTTTTGACGTCATGTCACTGATCCCATAATAATCCTAATTGTGTCAGTGATTGGGATGGTTGTCTCATAAACAATCACACAAAAAGGTAACACACTTTTGAGGAGAAACACATTAAGTGTATTGTTTATAACTTTTTTATCACTATTTTATGTTATATATATTGTATTACTTTTATTATTTTTTTAATATTAAAGTACTTTTTTAATTGGACCTAACTTTGCTGCTGTTGGATTGTTTGGAGCTATATCCCTGGTGGGGATCATACCACCTAAGCACTTTGGATTGAGCAAACCAGAACTTGCTCTTTAGCATATGGGTAGGTTTAACTTATTTATTTCTGCTTACACTCCTTTTTATGGTGTACACTATTGTGGTTCTATATGTTTATCTCCACATATACACAGACAGAAGAATTTATATTTACACCTGTATCCTTGAATGGGGATCATACCATTTCAAGCGCTATCAGAGGAGCCAGGTTTTATGGCTCCATTACACGTGAGTGTACATTTTATAGTTTTTACCTACCCTTGCTCCATAGCTCCAAATACTTCACCATATACGATTTTTATTTGTTTATTTTTTATGAGGATACCCCCTACCACACCTATAATTCGAAGAATTACCTCTGCACTTGATCCATAGGCGGGGATTATTCCGCCCAGGCGCATACACTGGAGCTGTATTGAAGCTCCAGGAAAGTGTGAGTGCACATCTTTTATTTTACCTTTCACTGCTACAGTTTTAAATACTACACTATTATTTCTTCTCTGGTTCTCTCCACATATACCTTGTCAAGGATTACTGAAGCGCTGCACCTACCCCCCTGTTTTTATCTCATATTGTTTTCTTTTATTAAGACTAAAATGTCTCTGTTAGGGGGTATTAGAGATTGCTTCCAATTCCTTGGAATTTAATTTATAGCAGCTATCGGTGGGTAACCTAATTTTCAGATAAATTACCTCCTTTATAATTTCCATCAGGTTACATGGCAAAGAATTGAGGAGTGAGACTGTAAGGGCTTGATCTATACACCAAAACTACTTAATTAAACTAAAGATATGTCCCTATAGTATCCCTTTAACTAGTTTGTCTCTTCCTGGAAGGCCTACTGGTTAAGATCTCCTTTATTTGTGTTTGCCAACCTGGGTTCAGATCCTGCTGGTCATGTTTTTTTTTTTTTTAATGATTTTTGCTAAATTGGATAAATACAAACATTGTATCAGATATCACATGCAATAATAAAATATAATAATAAATATAACTCAATCAGGTATTTAATGTAGCGTGTACAATTAACATGCATTAATTAAACTTGAATCCTTTTATTACTACCTATAAACAGTGGTGGAACTAATGTAGAGAGGGCCATGGTGCAAGAAATTTCTTTGGGTCCCCCTCTAGCGCAAGAGTGGCCAAAAGGTAAATCCTCAGCTGTCGAACAACTCCCACGATGCTATATATATATATATGTTTGAATGTAAGCAATAAAATAAAAACATGGCAACATTTCATTCTTTGTGTGTTATTAGTTTAAGCAGACTGTGATTGTCTATTATTGTGACTTAGATGATGATCAGATCATATTTTATGACCAATTTGTGCAGAAATCCATATCATTCCAAGGGGTTCACATACTTTTTCTTGCAACTGTATATGTACTGTTTGCGTTTGATTGCAGGGCTGTGTTTGGATGTAGTGTTAGCTTTTAAATACAGGTGTGCTTTTGTATGTAGTGTTGGTGTTTGAGTGAAGGAGTGTTTGTATATAATTTTAGTGTTTTAGTACACAAGTGTGTTTGTATGGAATGTTTGTGTTTGAATGCAGGGGTGTGTTTGTATGTAATTTATGTGTTTGAGTATAGGAGTGTGTTTGCATGTTGTGTTGGTGTTTGATGGGATGTGTGCACATATACACTGCTACATACATATATACCTACACAGATATACATACACAATAACACACAGATACATAAATAAAAACACCCTCATACATACACACCCTGGCACATATACAGTTTGACACACAGATACACACACTGGCACACAGACACACACTAACACATACACATACAAACACTAAACATACACACATACTCAGATATACACACTGAAGCATACACACACCTTGACACAGATACACACACTGATACATACACACACACACACACACAATCTGACACACACATAGACACATACACACATATAGAGCTAGGTCCAGAAATATGTGGACACTGACACAAATATTGCTATTTCACCTGTTTACCAAAATAAATTCAAGTTACAATTAAATAATGAATTTGGGCTCAATGTGTAGTCTCTTAATTAAAGGGCGTTCACATCCAAATTGGAGGAAGGGCTTAGGAATTACATATCTTTAATATGTAGTCCCCTCTTTTTTAAGGTACCAAAAGGTG